CATTCACTTGGTTAATCAAATACGTGTGTATATATATCAAAATTTTCACAACCCAAGTAGTAAAATGAGTTGAAGAATGAAGGTTGACCTTGATCAGAGAGAAGAACCCCACTAGCATTAGCTGCGGCGGCGATATCAACACGCTCGGAGATCAACAAGTAGGCGCGGTCTCTGACCACCGACTTCAACTTACAGGCGGCCTCATAGAGTCTGCCACCACTTGCTTCACGACCATTCAGCACCAGAATCCCAACCCATTTCGACACCGCCTTGTCGATCAAATCCAAAGCATCTTCACCGACCAATACATCATCAGGGTCCAGCTGCAGCACAATATTGGGAACCTTGATCTCTGGACGCTTGAACCCACCAGGGAACTGGGTTCTCGGAGGTTGCTTTGGTGGCGTTTGAGGGTTTTGGTTGGTGGATTGGTTTGAGTTTGGGGAGATTGATGAAATGAGAAATTGGGTTCGTCGTGAAGGCTGGGATTTGATGCGAGAGAGGTGGGTGTGGAGAAATGGGGTTGAGCTTGGGGTCAATAAGAGAGGCTGCGTTGCGGAAGTGTGGAAGGAAAGGAGAGGTACCATGGGAAAGCTTGGGTTTAAGAGCATTCACTCTTCAGACAGAGAAAAACAGAGTGTACGGATTGAAGAAAAAGAAGAAGAAGAGGACGATGATTTTTATCTTATCATCTTATCGTTCCCAAGTGGTTCATGAAATGAAAGTGGACATTATTGGTGATGGGCCACCTTGTGAGCCCCAAAAGAGGAGAAAACAGGTCGGGCCACGCACTTGGCAGACCTAATAAGGCGCAAGGAGATACAGCTGCACTTTTCTTAATCGGAAAAATCATTGTAGGTGCTTCAAATTGTCTATTTGCTCAATTGGTGTACATATTACTTTATTTCTATTTTCAACATTTAAATGTCTTTGTCCTTTTACTTTTATTTATTTTTATATTACTCTATTTACTTAAGTTTACAATGTAAATAAGGAAGTATCCCCCATTTGGATTCAAATAAAAATAATAGAAAATCAAATTCCCACCAAATCAAAATATGAAAATTCGATTTTAGTGCAAAATACGATTTATGCTAAAAATGATGGTTCATTAAGTCAATATATATTTCATACTAAAATCCCATAAAATCAAGTTTTCTTATTTGATGTGTAAGGAATAAAAGCCGCCAAAAATTATCTTGAGAAAATAATTATTCCGAAAAACCATTTTTCATACTTAGTCAATATTACGCCTCCGCTAAAAAAAATTTGGGTCCGCCAGTGGGGCCACGGATACCCATATCCAATGTAGTTGTCCTCATCTGCAAAAGGACCATCGGGCAATTATTTTCGGATAAGACAAACGATCATGAGGCTGATTTGTGGATAACCCTACTAATTGACAAAATTATTAGAGTTTTGATTTTCCTGCTCTCCTTTTGTCCATTTACACTCCTTCTTATTTTGTAATACTTTTCTCAATTAATAAGGGCATAAAGAATGATGCTATATTCAATTTGGATTAAGCTCTTATTTTGTTTGGAGTTTTTTTTTCTTCAGTATTTTGTTTGGAGTCATCAAGTCGATCCTTTTGCTTGGTTTGAGGGTTCTTATTAGTGAATTTGATGTGGGCTTTGGGGGATTGATGAAAAATTAAATGTTGGGTTTGTTAAGAGAGATGGGTGTGAGAAATGGTTTTAGGGGTTTCACCTTTTTGTTTTGTTTTTTGGATACGAGTGATATTGGGGAAGGGTAAATCAAACTAGGGACCTAGAATGCAAGAGTAATAAGTGTTCTGAATCACTTAGCTACGGAAACAAGGCCTATAATGTGTTGTTATTAGTGATGGGCCACTTTGTGGATCCAGAAGAAGAATAATCAAGCAAGACAAGCCATTCAAATTATAAAAGTTCCTCTCAAATTTTGCCACTATGGAAATGGTAAGGCCATCTCCAATGGAGAGGGCCAAATGTTAAATTTTGGATTTTAGTCCCAAATATCTTCTCCAAGGCATATATATGTCCGGTCATAATTTCCGTCCGGCACTAAATTCCATCCAACTTTTAAGTTGGACCTAAATTTTCGGGTGTTTATGCTAAAATACAGCCCATGTGCTGATGCTATAGATTAGCTCGCCTGTTTGCTTCGTTTTTTTCTTAGGGGGATTTTATTGGCACCTCATTATTTGCTCTTTGCACCTCATCCTAATTTTAAACATGAATAATTTATTTAACCCTTGTACATAATTACCGTTAAGGACAAAAAGCATTTATAATAAAAATTAAATTTGCTCACTACACCCCCACATATGTTCCTCAACCCTAGTTAGACTTTTTTATCAAACCATCATGTTTATACAACCTTAATGAGGGTTATATGCTTACATTGGTATAAAAAAAAACATATTGTATTTATTCATGAAGGGTGAGGTTGAAGTTAGAGAGGCTTCAAATGATGTATGAGTTTATTTTTTGGCGTTTTTCAAGCTTAGGATTTCATGATGGTTCGCTGGTTACGTTCAGCACACCAGTACCAAACGTGATAAGTAAATTCGGTGGGATGCCACTGAAACATTGCACCTATTTCGGTAGTGTTTGACCGGCTGTTAACTTCAAAAGCAGTGGAGATCCACCATAATATGGAACGGTGTTCGGTGGAGTATTACCGAATTTTTGCCTACAATTTAGTGGCAACAAACTGAAATATATTTATTTTTTCAGTAACTTATAGTCGACCACAAATTTAATGTAAGCTATTTTGACCTTACTCCCATTGAATGAACAAAAACAAGGTGACGCCCTTAAAATAGATGACACATCATCCAATGTGATGGTCATCTCATCAAAAGGCATGTGAAAGATATTCGTTTCAGGATGCCATCTCCCAACGAAGGTAGATACAACAATCTTATATGCATTACGATAAGAACATCTAATAAGTTGCTCTAATCCAGACCTCTGAATGTATCATTTGAATATACCATTATTTGAATTAGCCCACCAATTTCACTAACGAAGGATAAATGTCTTCGACATGCACCTAAGGTGCTCACATTCCTAATTAAAAAAATAATATTAAGTACAAACTTAATAACGAATTCAGTAGATGATCATTGAAACAAGAAATGAATTCAGTAGACTACCAATGAAAAACGGAAACATATTTGGTGGACTACCACTAAAAAACAGAAACACATTTGGTGGACTACTACTAAAAACATAAACATATTCGATGGATAATCACTGAAAAACGAAAACAAATTCAGTGGACTACCACTGAACAAGGTAATGATTTCAGTGGGGGTTCACACAGATAAGTTAAGAAATGGGGTTCATGAGGGCAATCTATAAAGAAAAATGAGGTGTAGTGAATAATTTTAAAATTTACTAAAATTCAGTGGGGCGTAAGGAGAATATGGTGCAAAGAGCAAATTTTGAGGTGCCAATAAAATTACCCTTTTTCTTAAATCAGAACTTAAACATTTTCCTCCCATCAAATGGCCATGATTTTTTATGATTAAATATAACCTTATAAAAAAATCCAACGACCAAAATGTTAATTAACTAATCTAACCTCAAAATCATCCTAAAGTATATAAATACACAATTATTTGTTCATAGTATGTGTGTCTGTGAATAGTTGTATTTTAAAGGGGAAAATTTTGGATTTAGCTCCATTTTGGTTGAAGATGGTGAAAAGGGTAATAGGGCGCTAAATGGTACGGTGAGAAAACAGAGGGCCATAATTGAGCGATTCAAAATAGGCAACAAATTGAACGGTGAAGATTGATGAATCCTCGAACATTACGAAGGAAATTACCTTTTGGTTCTTGCACGTTTCCAAAGACATTCAATGGGAGCAGCTAGCAGAGAGTAAAAGACGCTTCCTCTTTTGATCACACTAGCAGAACAGAACAGACACAAGAGTAAGCTCTGTGTATTGGAGAGTTACAGCGAGAGATGGGTAGGAGACCAAATGCTTCAAGGAAGGAGGGAACGGTTCATACGGTGAACTTGTCTTAACTTTCATCTTTGTTTTGCTTAACCAGCATTTTATTTATTTTCAACAAAGGCTGAAGCTTTTTTCTTCTTCTTTTGTTATTTCTAAACCCATTGTACAATTAACATCCTGCACCATGCGTTTCTTCTGAATATTGTTTTTCTATTTCTTGTTTTTCCTTTCATGGTTAAAAGGTTTTTTCTTTTCTGTTTGTTTATTGTGTTTACTCGTAGAGTCTTTGTTCCCTTTTGGGAGATGTTGATTTATGTGTCCTGTACTTGTTGTTTTGTTATAATATTACTTTTTAGGGTTAATGATTTTTTATTTATTTATAATTTGGGATGGTGGTGGATTTAGGGTTTTGTATATATTAAAGACAGGGATGCGTTTCTTTGATTACAAACAAGTTGATTTATGTATTTGAGGCATCCTTGTTTTGATTATAAAATGGTATGTATTTTAGCTGGCTCTATTGACACTACTCTTCATCTTCTTGCACTCCACATTTTGAGAGCATAAAGATTTGCTATATTCAGTTTGGAATGGCAGAGAGGCTAAATGAGGAATGCAAATAGTCTTATTTTGTTTGGAGTATTCATATCTATGCTTTGCTTAGTGAGGGACTTGACATTTTAATGGAAGTTCTTGCTTTAATTTGTTGGGTAAAACAGAAATAAAAGAATGCTTTACAGAAATTATGTGTATTATTTTTTGAAAAATAAATTGTCTTACAGAGGGCCCTTCTCCATATTCTTTAGCTTTCTAGTAATTTCCTGTGTTTTTGTAAATGCAAATATCAAATTCTCTTTAGGTAAATACATGAAGAAGCTTGTCCATGTCTGGTTCTTCAATGCATTTGTAGTTGCAGATTAGATTACTGATATTTTTGTTCTCTTTTATTAGCAATTTTGTTACCTTCAATGATAGTGTCTTTTATTATTACTATTATAATCTGCACATACTAAATTGAATTGTTTAATTATGGTTAATTTTACTAATAAATGATTATGGTCTTCAATTCAAAGCCTAAAGCCACACAACCATCATCTGAAACTGAGGAACCACAACCTGAGGGGCCAAATCCTTCTTCAGAGCAAATGGACCAGCAACATGAAAACGCAAGCCCTCCGCTGGAGAAAACTAACTCAATGCATATGATGCAAGAAAAATCTACCAAATCCTCTTATTCAAAAAAGAGACCGAAGCAGCTCAATTCTGTTGTTAGGCGATCTTTACGCATTCGAAACTGTAATATGCCTGTTCAAAACCCGAACATTGAGCCCGTGATTGAAAACATTAGTGATAGTGAGAAGGAAGAGGAGATGGTGGAAGAGGAGCAACCTCTTTTGGAGGAACAACCAACCTTGGGTGAGAAAAGCATGGAAGAAAAAATTGATTATCTTATACAATTAGTGGAAACACAGAACTCAAAGGTATTAATCTTGCTCTGGGGATTATAAGAGTTTGATGTTTACTTGCATATATTAATTTGTGTTGTTTATTCAAACAATTTATTGGGGTTGTGTAATCAGGCAAAGAAGAGAAGCCCCGTCTTTTCTAAATCTCCAGAGTTAGGATACAAAAGCTTGTATATAAACTCCCAAATGAAGGTTATTTTCATTTATCGTGAAGAACTATCTATCTTTTTTTCAAGGGCTATAACATTTCTTTACATATGCAGATTGAGGCTTTGAAAAATGAAAACCATGAGCTTTCTTTGAAGTTGGAAGTAGCTCTTGGCAAACTTGAAGGGGTAAGAAAATTTATGCTACCTTGAATTTCCATATCAATTAGGATTTGGATAATTTGTCCACTTTATGGTTTGTGCATCTTTCTTTTGGGGTCATTGTGGGTTTTGTCACTTTTAGTAATATCTAAAGTATAAATCATAGGCTGTAATTAACAAATAGCAGTTTATAACACCATTCAAAGATTTAAAAGGGAAAGAATTGTTTCGAATGTAAGAGTTGTAAATGACGTGGACCAATGCTTGATTCTTGATTGTCATTTTTTCTTTGGTTGGTTGTAGTATGAGAAAGGGACTTGTGCATTTTCTGGAGTGATGGAGAAAATGAAAGATGTGATTTTGGTCTCAGCTTTATCAAAAGCTACTGAAAGAGTTGTAAATGTCTCATCTCCCCAAAAAGCTCAAGATCGCAAGTATGCAGCTAAAAGAAAGAAACAGTCCTAAAGCAATGAAAGGAACTGAGGACAATGGTTGATATGATTGGCTTAGCAGTCTTTGTAAAAAAAAATTGGAACTTGTTAGTTTGGGAGCTAGCTTTATTTTGTTAGAACATTGAAGGGCATGTTACTGATGGTTTAAGCACTCAGTACTCGGTTGTTCATATGATATCTGTTTGGTTGTTGAATTTTGAAGCGTGACTTTGGTTTGTTAAGAATTAGAAGTTAATCTAACGTTCTCAAGCATATTCTATGATTAGCAGTACTGTTTGATTGAAGTTTATGATTTGATTATAACAGTTAAGATGTATAATATTCCTTCCCTAAAGATCTAGATTTTTTTGTCAATCTTTTCCGCGAGCTGGTTTAGGTATGGTAAGCTGCCTTTTCTTACTACCACCTGCATTTAGGCTCATCGACCCTTGCATTTAGCCATTATATACTATATCGGTTTTAGTTACTCTCCTTTGGAATCACCTACTATATAATCTGAGTAGGGAAAAATAGTCCAGGAAAGAAAAAGAAAAAAAAAGAGTTAATTCATTTCCATTGAGATCGCCTATTTGGAAATCCCTGGAACTGGGTTGATAAATTATGACATTTGCTTTGGGGTGTTTAAGTAGTTCCAAAGCCGAAAGAAACAAATTGTAAAACCATTCTAATGATCTTCGTGAGAACACACATCCACACGAGGGTCAGAGAAGCCAAAAAGATTGGTTTGGGGTGTTTGAGAAACTTCATTATCACCATCATCTTCATTTGCCTCTTCTGCTATCGGTCGTGGTGGAGACGAGAAGTCTATGCACAACCCCTGTATAACTTGTTCATATGAAGCAGAGACGTCATGGGAGGTTAGCTGGTGGTACTCCACAAGTTGATTGAGGCATTGGTTTTCCCTAACCAGATTTGCATTTTCATTTGCTAATCTTGATTTCTCAGCTAGCAGTGCCTCCAATTGAAGCCTCACCTATATCAACATCAAATATTCCACAAGAGATTGATTAATGTTGTGCAAATGTTATCTCATATCAGAAAATATCCATTGGGAACAATCGAAACACACAAGTCTCACCAGATCATCTTCATCAGGCCTCAACCCTTTATGCAATCCATCTCGGAGCCTCCTGTTCTCCTCCTCCAGCAGAGCACAGCGCTCTTGCATAAAGCATAAATCCGACCTTATTGACTTCAGTTCCCTGGCAAACGAAGCTGCTTTGGTTGCCATAGAAATTGCAAGCTGTGGAGAGATAAGCACACAATTAGCAATCAACTCAAAGTAGGCAGCTAAGAAGGTCCATCAAAGGTTTTCACACTGAACAAAAAGAAGCGAAACCTACATTTTTAGCTTTCTTCAGCTTCCCATCTTTGGGGTCTTGCTCATTTTCCTTTTTTGAGTCGTCTCCTTGTTCCTCTGAGTAATGGCTGTTGTCAAACTTCCTTTTCAGTCCTACATGGGGATCTTCTGTGTCCTTCTCTTTACTCTCAGATTTGTTGAGGTGGCCATGGAATATCTCTGTTAATGTGGGTGGCTTAGCTAGATCGTTGGCTCCCTATAAACACGGCAAACAAAGAAAGTCGCATAAACTCAAATCACATCTGGTTTTGAAAAACTTCTACAGTTCAGGCAATGAAAAGCAAATTTCAAAACTCAGATCTTGCATACACTTTTTACTGTGAACAAATTTACAACAAGTTCAAATTTTCAGCTGTCTGCAGGAAGGATAGAACTTTACCTGAAGAGCAGTCTCTAAAGTGTTGGACAGCTGAGACAAAGTGTGAGCTATGGAGTCAAAGCCTCTCATCAAAAGCAACGAGTCTTCCTTCGTTGCTTTTGCACGCTTCAATCCTCCAACATTCTTTTAACAGAAAAAAGAAATTAAATTAACAACAAAACAGAAAACCCATTTTGGGCCAGAAGCAAAATTTACAGTGAAATCAAGAACAAAGAGTAAAAGGAGACACTCACCATTTGAACTGGTGGAGAGGGATCAGCATTTGGTGGGTTTTGGGCAGTTGGGATTTTGGAGCTGGGATCGTCGAGAAGAGTGTCGATCCGGCTGCGGAGAGAACTCCAGAAGCGCTTATCTGAGGAGGGACTGAACAGAGGAGAAGAAGAAGAAGAAGAAGCCATGAATAAGCTTGTAGCCTTGTGGTTCAGGTGGGTAGGTGATGGCGTATTCACTGAAGCTCCCATTCGAGAGAACAGAGGAAAAGTAACGGCTAGTCTTTGGGATTTTGGAGGAGCTTGTGATAGTGGGCTTGATTTAATATTGTATATATAGATGCGCCGAAAGCCAACGTTATAAAATCTATTTCAATTATTTTATTTATTATTGATCTCAACTCAAAGTGGATCTGATCCACTACTTTCTCCTGTTTCTATCTTGACTAAAGTGAGGTGGCTTTTTAGGTTAGGAGAGAGGAATTATTGTGTGGCACACTAAATATGCTGCATCCATAAGGTGTTATCATTTCAAATTTCACACCTATATAACCATTAATATTATTATAACTTCTAAACCAACACGTGTTATAATATGAGTGAAATTATAAATTATTGTGAATGATCTATTTAAATCTAAAGAGATCATGAATGATCTATTTAGATCAAACCAAGATTGTGAATAATTTGTTTAAATCGAACAATTGTAATTTTAAGATTATCAACTTAACACGCTCTAAACTCATATATATTTTTGCATGTCTTCTTAACTATCTTTTATCTTTTTATTTTTCACTATGGAGTTACATTTTGGAAGTTATTTGATCATCATAATTCTTTTTTACTTTTGGTCTTTTGTTGCTAACGGTATCTAAACTTCAAAATTAATAATGATATCATCAGTCACTTGTATGGCATATTAATGTCATCATCGACACCAAATTCGTCCAAAATTGTGTTACAATGTAAGAATATTGTCAAATTACTCTTACCCACCATTACTCCCCTCTCCTCCCCCACCCTTCCCTCGACGACCCAAGCCCCCAGCCACCCCTTGCCCCAATTTTCCCCACCCCTCCATGACCCCCTCCAACACCAAATTTGACAACATTATCTTTAATTTAAACAAGATTGGCCCCCAAGAATCGGTTATTCCTATACGAGTCATGAAGGGTATAACGAAGTTTGACATAGTACAAGGACCATTGGGATAAAAAGCCTTTACTTTTAAATTCCTATCCTATCCTTTTCATTTTTCATTAGCTACATGTGTAGTTATAACTAAGACTTTAATGAGCTGAAAAAAGGAAATCCACCCAAACCCAAAAAAAAAAAAAAACTCAAAATTCGGTTTCCCTGTTCTTTATCTTGTACTAAGAATTGCTGGTTCTCATACAACCAGTCACAGGCTCGTACTCGATGGCCACTCTTACTTCATCATCATCCTCTGTGCTCTTTTCCTTTACACCCTCCAACCTTGTTCCACCTTCTCTCTCTCATCTTCCACGCCTCTCTCTCTCCTCCTCCTCCCACTTCTCTACTCTCTCCTCTTCTCTCTCTATTTCTCATTCTTCTGTCGCATTCCCTGCAATTTCCAGGCGCTTCAACCGTTGTTCCTTCAGTATCAAGGCAAGTGCTGGAGAGAAGAAAAATGTCCTGATAGTGAATACAAATGGTGGTGGGCACGCAGTGATTGGATTCTACTTCGCAAAAGAGCTTCTGGGTTCTGGCCATGAAGTCACCATATTGACTGTTGGTGAAGAGAGCTCAGACAAGATGAAGAAGCCCCCATTTAGCAGATTCTCAGTTAATATTTTCCACATGTTTATATCTCTTTCTAATTGAATTTTCAAAGTGGGATTTTTCCTACTTATGGTTGGAACTTTTGGGTGATTTGAATACTTTTTCTTTTAGGAAATTGTAAGTGCTGGAGGGAAGACTGTGTGGGGAGAACCTGCGGAGATTGGAAAGATTTTGGAAGGAACAGCATTTGATGTTGTGTTGGAAAACAATGGCAAAGATTTGGACACTGTGAGGTCGGTTGTTTTGATTCTCTAAAACTCAATTTCAATTGGGGTAGCTTTTGTATGCTATGCTGTCTATATGTTCAAATATGGTGCGACTCTGTTCTCTCTGCATTTTGCTTACAATTATTTTTTTTCTTTTTGTTTTTTAAATTTATAAATTTCAAACCCTTTTATAGATTGAGCTTTGGCTTTGATTTGGGGGGCTTGATTGGAAACTAAACAAATTTTTGTAATTTTCACATAGGCCTGTGGCAGATTGGGCCAAGAGTTCTGGTGTGAAGCAATTCCTGTACATCAGCAGTGCTGGAATTTACAAGCCAACTGAGGAGCCACCTCATGTTGAAGGGGTATATTTTGTCTCTAATTCCTCTTGCATTCAACTAAGACCTCATTGCTTTAGTGGTGAACTAAAACCTTCATTATGGCAGGATGTTGTTAAAGCTGATGCTAGTCATGTTGCAGTAGAGAAGTACATTGCAGAGATATTTGGTAGTTGGGCAATATTTCGCCCACAATACATGCTAGGTTCCGGCAACAACAAAGATTGCGAGGAGTGGTTCTTCGATCGTAAGTAGATAGTATTAAGCACTTTTCTGATAGTTCATAATATATTACTATGTTGTTTCATGATATTTTCTGTGCAGGAATTTTGAGGGACAGACCAGTTCCAATCCCTGGTTCCGGATTGCAACTTACCAACATCTCCCATGTTAGGGACTTGTCCTCTATGCTTACCCTAGCCGTTGAGAACCCCGACGCTGCATCTAGTAACATTTTCAACTGTGTAAGTGATCGTGCCGTGACCCTCGATGGATTGGCAAAACTTTGTGCTCAAGCTGCTGGACGCCCTGTTAACATAGTGCATTATGATCCAAAAGCTGCTGGAGTTGATGCAAAGAAAGCTTTTCCATTCCGGAACATGGTAATAAATTGTCTTGATCCAAAGAGGGCACTTATAACTGATCATGCAGTTTCTTTGTACTTTTGACATTGTTGTGTTGCAATGAGTTAAATTTTTCGCCTACTTTGCAGCACTTCTATGCAGAACCAAGAGCTGCCAAGGAAATTCTAGGATGGAAATCTACCACGAACCTCACCGAAGACTTGAAGGAGCGATTTGAAGAGTACTTAAAGATCGGGAGAGACAAGAAAACCATCAAATTTGAGTTAGATGACAAGATAATTGAGTCCCTTAAAGTTCCAGTAGCAGTGTGATAAAGTTCATTTTTTGTTTCTTGTATCTCATATCCTATGTGATATTCTTTCACCGGGAAGCAACTTACTAAATAATTTGAAATGCTTAATAAAAAATGAAGAAACAATGTAAATCAAGTGGACGGACCTATATTACCTGCCTCTACCTTTAATTAATCTTGATTCTGTTAAAAAAAAAATTTAGACAAAAGAAATTGAAATTGGAGATCTGAATTCAAAATATATGTAGCCATGCACCTCAACCAGTACTCTACTCAGCTGACCCAGTTTCGCATACATAACCAGAAAACTGGCTGCCAGCAACTTAAGTAACAGGGAAACGAGAGCATACAACTAGCTAGACTCTCGAATGTTGAATGTTTCAAATAACGAGCCTAGTCTACAACAACCGATCTATTTCACCATGGCTAAAAACCGCTGAAATAGCTCATATGGAAACAATCTAGCTAATCAGAAAAGTTGGAATCTGAACAAGTTTTAAATCAAATTAACAAAAGGCAGCAAACTGCATGTATCAGTTATTCTCTTCTTGCTTGATTTCAAGGCCCTTAAGCTTTGATTCCAAATCAACCTCATTATCAGCGTCCTCTTCAGCCTCCTCATCAAGATCTTCTCCTTCAGGGTCGTTCTCATCCAAAGGCCCAAGCACATTCAGTGAATTCTTAAAAATCTCCCTTACCTCATCAATCCCCTCATCTGATATGAAATTAGCATTTATGTTCAGCAACTTGAACCCAGGTTTGTGCACAACAGCCTGTGCCAACGCCCTTGCTCCAGCCCTTCTAATTGAATTTGTGTTCAAGTCAACCTCAGTTAACTGACCATGACCCTCTGCAACTGCTTTGCTGATCAAAATCGCACCTTCATCCTTCAGTTCATTCTCAGACAAGTTTAACCTGGTAATGAATTGTTTCGCTGCTATACAGGTTGCTAAAGCAGCAGCCGATCTGGCTGTAATGTCATTTCCCGCCATTTCCAAAACCTCAAGTGAGGGTGCAGACTCTTTGAGAGAATTGGCAAGGGCTTCTGTTCCTTTATCTTCTAAGTTAAGGTAACTCAGGTAAATTTCAGTAAGATCTGCAAAAGCATATAGAGATTTACTCAGAGCAATCCCAGATTGTACTCCAAACATGTTGTCACGCAAATCAAGCTTCTTCAGATGGGAACATGTCCCAAGTGCTTCAGCTAGAGCTATGCCCCCTTCGGAGCCCACCCTTGTGGAAGAACAACGAAAATCCTCCAAGAGAGGTGAACGTTTTACCATGTCAGAGATGGCAATTGCCCCCTCATCTCCAGTCATATTGTTGTGAAAGTGAAGTACCCTAAGCTTCTCAGTGGATGGGATAAACTTAGAAACTGCTCTTGCTGCTTCTTCTGATATGCCATCATTCATCAAATAAAGTTCCTCTAAATTAGTTTGTGACCTCAGGAGTGACCCAAATGCATTTACACCCTTTTCACCCATGGCATTGTCTGAAAGATTGAGATACCTCAAAACACATCCTTCCAGGGCTGAAGAAAATATATTCATGACTTGAAGAGCTTCTGTTTCTGACCTTCCTGCAATAATATCTGACAGGTCTACTTCTTTCAATTGATCTTTGATAGATGTTAAGATTGGCTCAGCAACATGGGCTGCATCCAGACCAAAGCTTCTATTGCTAAAACATATCTTGGTATACAATTTTTCGTGATCCCTTAATGGTTTTAACAGTTCCACGGCCTCCTCAGCATCAATAAAGGACCGGCGACTCCCAGATATATCAAAGACACTTCCATGAGTAGCAGTATCTTTCTCATATTGCATCACCTCTCCGTCTTCCTTTACTTTGGGCCCTCTTTTGAGAACTTCCAGCATAAGCTTACTGGACTCTTTAGCATAAATTTGAACTGCCGAACTTCCATCACCATATGGTTCCTTCTCAAAATGTTGGTCAGCAGCTGCAAAAGCTATATTTTCTATTTGCCTGGCATCCTCCTCGGCCTCTTCTTTACTGAGCAGACCATACTTTCTAGACAAAAAGGATGGAGTGATGAAATTCTTGGTCATTCGTTCTACAAGCAGTATCCTGGTGCTCTGGCTCGGGGGCCATAGTTTGATAGACACTGAGCGCTGGTGGAAAGTTTGTGCTTGAGAATCCATGCCAAAGTGACCTGGAACCATGCACCGAATTTATAATAAACTAAAATGATCAAAGCACATTTACATTTAAAAGTAAGAAAGGGAAGCGACCCAAGGTGATCTCAACAACCAAAAATACAAATAACCAATTATTCCAAGTCAAATGACCACATTCACAGAAAATCAAGTGATTCAAGCAGTAATTTGGAACGCAATATCAATAAAAATCCACTAGCAATGACCATCAAATATACTCCTACCGAAACAAGAAATATAAATTAAACATGGTGTTCAAATTCAAAACTTGTAATGTTCAAAACAGAAAATTTTCAGGAATACAAAACCACTTTTCAGTGAGGCATACCCTCCTCCATCCACACAAAGATAAGCATAATAGCAGGTCCTTTACAAAAACACACAAATTATAAGAAAAACCCAGAGAATATTAAAACTTTTGAACTCCTGACAAAGTATCTTAAAATTCAATTGTACAATTTATTTGAGCAACAAAAGAATTCACGTGAACATTTTTATCAGAATGTGACGAAAGTTCATCCAGTTGACTACTGGTACGGGTCTAGAAGTCCATTATCACCAAAAGCAACAATATAAATTGCAAACCAAATATATGACAAGAATACCATAAATATTTGTTATTTTCTTTACCGGAAAATACAAGAACTTATCTCAACCAAGTACCTAAGTTGAACCATCGTATCACGCTCATTGAATATATTACAAAAACTTCAAGTTGCAATTCCGAAACAGAAATCTAACTCAGAATTCTTGTGAAGACAAATTAAAGATTCGTCGGATATAAAAAGAACGCTAAATCTTGTAATAGATAACACCATAGATCAAAGGAAATCAAAAGTCACTTCGGTTAACATTAGAATTGCAGAGTAAAAACCACAAATTTCTCTGTTTGGCTCTTAAGAAACAGCGAGAAAATAAAAATCGACATCTCAATCAAAACCGCTCATCCAAACAGCAAAATGGTAAAAGATCATAATTTCTTTTTCTACACACGAAACATACAGAGTTATACAAAGAAATACAGTACCTGGAGCAAATCACGACTCTGTCCTCGGGAAACAGAAAGGAGCGAAAGCAAACCCTAGAAATTGAAGAGCAAAAAGAGACGGCGAGGGATAAGAAAGTAAAAGGAAACTTTTGTATCTGGAAGAGTTTCTAGATTTTCCGGGAAAATGAAAATTTTCTGGGAAACGAATCAAATCTGGGGGTTTTAGAGTGTGTGGCTCAGAGCAATCATATCATCATATGCCACAGTGAATTAGAAAAATCAAAAGAAGAGTGCGTGCGGGGGCAATTGGGAATTGGAGGGAAATCATGAGAAAACACACCCAAATCTTCCAACTTTAAAAAAATGAGAGCGAAGCGTGGAATTTACGACGCGATCTTTTTCTCCGAACAAAAAACAACGCCCCTAGTTTTCCACTTATTTACGTTTTTGGTCATGCCGTTGCCATGTCGCATTTGAATTGGGCCTTGGATGCGGAGGTGGGCTTAGATATTGGACTTGGGCCCTAAATTTGGCCCACACTATAAATAAATTTGGATCGACGTCGACCGACAAAATTTAGCTGCTCATGACATTCCAAATTTCTTATGCTGCCGGAAGAGACAGATGCCAGCTGTCATTTGGACAGGTTCAATAATGAAAGAGCAAGTTATGCAGGAATTTTAGCTTCACTCGGAGGAGACTAATTGGGATGCCAACAAATCCACAATTATATTAATCCTCTTCACTTTGTCATATAATTGTTTGAATGATTAAATAAAAATAGTCCCATAGCGCAATCATCCAATTGCTTCTTACTTGAACTAAGTATTTGGTGTGGTCAAATCAACTGTGCAAGACAGAAAAAAAGAGGAAGAAAATCCAATCACCGCACTGGAAATAATGCATTATCAAAAGCGTTATTTGGACTTTGATTAACAATTGGGATTAATCAAGATCCACACCTTTCTACTCATCTTTTTTTTTATAATAAAAAAATAATATTGTTGGAGTTTATGTATTCTGGTTGCCAATCATTATCATCACGAGTGACCACTTAAAGGTGTCATGTCCTATGTTGAGGCATTATTAACGGAAAAAATAAAATATTTAAGAATTTTGGATTTATTTTTTTATTTTTATTTTTTTAAGTAAAGGATACTCTTAATTAATATGCACAATGATGCTCATCATGTACGATAAGGAAAAAATATGAGGATGGCATAATGGATTTCAGATGGCTCGAGCATAAGTTAGACTGTCACTTCTTGCTCAATTATAAACATTTTGCATATATATTAATTATTAAGTAAGCAATTAGTAAGAAATGTATATCATCTTTTCTATTTTTATCATAGAAATGTATAGCATATAATCTATAGGATCTTGTACCTTTCAGAAGTTCATATTTAAGCTTTATTAATCTTTATGGAGAAAATTACTCTTTGGGATGCAAGGCTAATTAACGCAAATGTGGTTAGGTGTATTCGTTTCCTTGCACTCAATTTCGAATCTTCCGAATTAACGTATCCTTCCTTTTATACACGGATTTGATTATTTATGACAAATTATAATAATTTAGAGTAATTGAAAATATCATGTTTTATTTTTAGTAAAAATAGGTGCATCCCTTGCTTTGCGGTGGAAAAGAAAAGGAAAGGTGGCTTGGGTGGGGGCCCACTTAACCACCGTGAAGGCAAGAATAATAAGAAGCCCTTGCCCACTCTTCATTTAAAAACTGGTGTGGAGTACACACCGACAACTTGTTTTAGAGCCAGAGAGAGTATGATCCCGTGTTGCTAACAAAAGAAGAAGAAAAAAAAATAGATCTTCCATGTGAAGAGAGAGAGAGGGAAAGAGTAGCCTTGGTCTTGGGGATTTCATAGAGAAAGCAAAGCTCTTTTTCTCCCTCTCTCTCTCTCTCTCTCTCTCTCTCTCTCTCTCTCTGTGTCTCTGACCCTACGCAGCAGAAATGTGCATAAAAGAGGATATGGCGCCAGAGAGAAGAAAGGAACTCCAAGAGTTAAGATAGTGAGGTCTGTGTGTTCAGTGTACCTTCTTTGTTTTTCCTTGTGCTTATTTTCATGTGGGTGAAGCAACAAGAAAAGACAATAAAGATAGCTTTTTATTAAGAAGGATCTCTGTAAGTTATCCCCATATCCTTCTTTGTAACCTTCTTCTTAATATGTTATGGCATTGCTTCCATTTCTTGATTTGGATTTCGATCTTGTATCTTCTGGGTTGGGATTTGATGAAAAAAGGTTTATCCTTTTTCTGTTTCCTGGTCAGATATGATGTGGGCTGTTCATAGTTTGTTGAATTTCTTGATTTACTGTTCTGGGTCTGTCTAATTCTGTTCTTTTAATTACTGCCAACTGTTTTCTTTTTGGATAATTGATTATATGACTTCAAATCCTTGTGTTCTATGAGATTTTTTTTTATGGGCTTCATTTTGTGGAGCATTGGATGATTTATCAGTATCAGCTTCATCAATTTGCACATTTGGTTCTGCTAAAGTTCATATTTTTAGTAGGAATTTTCACTGTTAGTTCATGAGCAGATAGAACATCAATGTATTGCGTAGCAATGCCAATAGACAGGTTTCCATTTGTGAGAATGGTCTGTGAATTCTTTTGGGGAAGCAATTTTGTGCATGAATTGCCTCCCTACAATCTTGAAATAACATACGATCAGATAGATCTACTTCAGTCATAATAAATGCCAAAAGTGAGAATGAGTTTCATATCATATGAGGAAAACCTAGAATCTTAAGAGAAAAGGCCCTGAAAATAAGTAGAACTGAGCCACAACTGTACTGAATGATCTAGATTTAGACAGTATTCAATTCCTATAATTAATAAAAGGAGCATATATTTAAGATTTATAAACCAATTTTAGAAATATTTGAGGAATAAGAATAGAGAAGGTTTTTTCAAAGCCACTGCATGTTATGGTAAGCTGCCAGAATGTGATGATATTCTGATGGTGTAGTATTTTAAATATAACTTCCATTCTTTAGTACTTTTTTGGGTAAAAATGCTCTTTAGTACTTTTGTCTTAGTATTTTCAATGCAAATTAGAATACTACCCAAGAATTGCTTTTCTTAGTCCTTCACAATGTGTACCACAAATGCTGCATTGTGTGTTCAATGAAAGTTCCTGTCATACCAAAAATTGTAGAGCATCGATCATGTATTGGATTTGGACTACAAAATGCAGGGGCATGCCAGCTTCCTAGTTCATTTTTGTTAATCAATGTTTTACTTTGCAGGTCAAATATGGGAACTTTGGCACTTGACAATGAAAATGTAGGCTCGGATGTTTACTGCCATTTGGGGCTAAAGGAATCGGCAAAAGGAGTTATGAAAATCCCTCGGGTTCTGTCACCTCTCTCATCACTTCTTGAGAGATGTGTTCAAAAGAATGAGATGCTATTGGAGGCAACGGACATTAAAGAAGTCATGACCATATTTCATGGTTTACGAGCACCCACTTTGAGCATTCGGCAATATGTTGATCGCATCTTTAAATACTCTGGCTGTAGCCCATCATGCTTCGTTGTTGCACAGATCTATGTGGACAGATTTATCCAGTGCACAGAAGTCCGTTTAACTTCTTTCAATGTTCACCGGCTTCTGATAACAAGTGTAATGCTAGCAGCGAAGTTTATTGATGACGCGTAAGTACTATTTTCAGAATTAGATATACACGATTGTTTTTCAGGGAAATTGTTTCGTAATGGGTTTTCTCCGTTTCCCTTCAGCACCAGCTTCTGACAATAAGCATTTAACATGGTTTTGCAGATTCTTCAACAATGCATACTATGCCAAAGTAGGAGGAGTGAGCACAAGTGAGTTGAATAGGTTGGAAATGAAGTTCTTGTTTACTATAGATTTCAGGCTTCAAGTTAGCATAGAGACATTTAAGAGATACTGTTCTCAGTTGGAAAAGGAAGCTGCAGGGCTCCAGATTGAACGTTCGATCCAAGCCTGTGGGATCAAAGAGAATTGGTCCAACAAAGACGATTCAACTTGTGCTCCTACAGTTGCAAGATGACAATGCCAATATCATGTCAATGTTTTATTACACGATTTTTCTGAATTGCGATTGAATTAGAAAGTATCTGATTGTTTGGCTTGTAAGCCACGAAAAGCACTTCAATGAACAATAACTCTAGTATCTCACTTTCGTTTTGTGCAGAGTTTTGGTTTCCATTTCTCAAATTGTAAGAAACAGATTATTCAACTTTATGGGTAAGAAAGAGTGTGCAGTGAGTTTTCCATTTTGGTTGGTTGCAAGTTTGCGATCACTTCACATTCTTAAATAAGCAGGCTTTCAATACTTTATCAAACATTTTGGTAGGTAACAAAAAATTAAAAAGTTTTTTTTTAAAAAAATTTAAGCACAGCAATCCAAACGACATGTCTTTGACGATAATGATTATCAGTCATGTTTCTTAAAATTTTTTGAATTTAAATATCATAAACGACGATTTGTTCGTTGTATTGTTAAATAAATAAATAAACAATTAGAGCTAGCAAATAACATTGTTTTACCTAAATGTTGACGTTTGGTGCTTAATTTCTATGATTGGTTATTACTTATTACTCTTTTTTTGTTTTTTAAAGCATTTCACTGAAAACTTGCACTGAATTGTTTTGCTATCCCATTTAGTTCATTGAGACATTTACATGTATTCAAGTAAAAAATTGGACGAGAATTTTAGTACTGTTTTCATGTAATAGGCGCATATACTTATAAAGATATTGAAAAGGAGTTGCTTACCTTTTTTTGCTTTTTTTGTGCCACCCAATATCACTGAGTCCAGGGGAGATGGAAATTAAAATTCTGTTGCGATATTTAGCGGCGGTTTTCTTAGCCGCCGTAAAGACAGCAACCATTATCGACGGTTTTTATCGCTTCAAGTGTTTATAAATTGTCACTAAAAATGCAAAAACCGTCGAAAACCGTAGATAAAAAGCAAAAACCGTCGTAAAAAACCATTACTGTCATATATTTGCTTATGAGGGTGATTTTCTTTCTTTTGCTTCCCCTAAAATGCTACTGCCAATTTTGTTAGTTACGTAGAAGCTGCAATAAACTTGATTCCACAAATAGAACACTTCAGCTCCTCAAGGGAAAAAATTGAACATTTTGTAAATAACGTAGAATCTCAATCAATAAATTGAAACAACCCCCTTATCTATTGTCGGTTAAAATTGGACCATAATGGCAAAATACAATTAGGGGCTAATTCAACTCCTCTCTTGTATCATCAAACCATCACCTTTGCCTTGGAATAAATAAAATAGGCTAATCCGAGACTTAAGCCGCAAAGAGAAGCCAATTTTGTTTGGAGTAAATTCCACATTTTTATGCTTCTTAGTTTAATTCTTCAATTGCTATGATTTTAGTTTAGGGTTTTGAAATTTAATTATTGTACAGTATATATTAACATTTTCATGAAAAACGACCTTTTGACAATTTGGTGTAATGTTAATTATGATTCATTCCTTGAAAAGAAAAAAATCTAAACTCAAATATCATGAACAATTTCTTCAGTGTTAATTTTTTTTTTAAATACAATTAGAGCTAGCAAAGCATTTTTTTTTCTTCCGTATTTTTTATCCAGTGGCCGTGGGACAGATATTCAGCTCACTAAACATTTTCAAGAATCGGAATCCGAGGATCAATACAGAAAATTAATGATGAAACTTACTGCTAAAACTTATGTGCACTTTGCATTACATAATCACAAAAAAGAATTAGACTAAGCAGAAGTTACTTCTGTAGTATCAACATTGGCAAAATGAGCTACAACTTTCTATACATTTTTGCTCTTCAATCTTGATATGACCAAAACAAAAAAAAACTAGGGTTAAGCTATGCATCTATCTAAGCCTGCTGCGAGGTTGCCTGGATAGGCATTGTAAGTGCATTAGTAAAAAATCTGCGGATCTCTGGTACAATACGATTTATCAGTCCGGGATACCTGAATATATTCATCACAACATTTCAAGTCACTATAATGCTGGACACAGATTCAACTAGAGAAAGAGATGCACTACTTACCATGGTTTGATAATCAATTTGTCAAACTGCTCCAAGATGAACAGAATGCATGCTTGCCTTAATGACATGGCATTGAAGGCCTCTGATAACTCAAACATGAGCGAAACATTTTCGACGTAGATGTTCTTGAGAAAGAAAATAAGAAGCAATCAGACTAAAACCAAACCGAAAACAAGGGTAATACCATCGAACAACTTTAATAGGTAACCCACCTGAGCAATGGCATGCTCGCAGAGGCGCTTGAGACCCTCCAAAAGATACTGATCAGCAGCTCTGAGGAGATCCTGAGCAATATCCAAATTGACATCTACAGATCCTGTGTATATGAATCTAGCAACAGACAGAGGACCATTATAACTATTAGGGATGAAACTGGGGTGCATTATTTAGCAATTTACTCATAAGTTCTTAGCCAAAAGGGAGGCAGAACTACCTACCTCATCATCAATTCAAAAACGTCCCATCTAATATTTGGAATCTCTACATCCTTAGCATCTCTCTCCTGCAATACATTGTTTCAACATGTTTAGAAAATAATTCATCCGTTAAAGGAATTGATTTCCCGTCACATTTTTAGTATCACTGTTGAGAAAAGAAAAACATGAGGAGAGGATTAGAATCAGAAGATCATCAATCAGTGGAAAAGGCCGATAATTCTTACCCTGTAACCACCGTCAAACATGGCACGGAATGCATCAGAAGAAGCAAGCAGACAAATTCTGTGGGCATAGAACCGTTTACCTGATAATAGTATAAAGCATACGAATTTATTACAGTACAGTAACATAAAAATATCAATTAAAGTATTAAGTGACTGAACTATAGAAAAGGGCATGCAAAAGAATAATCCCCACCTTCAACTAAGAATGTGATGTCAGAAAGTGTAGGATTGTTTACGTATTTTTCACCCAAATACACCTGCAAATAGATCATGTCAAACATATCAGAACTGATTATCCATGCGAACAAAGTATCACACTCACCAACCCCATACAAGTATTTTAGAAAACTAACCCTAGTATAGCAATCTGTAAATCTTGATTCAAGGCCAGCAGGGAGTCTTGTAAATACGAGTTCAATAGACTAATATCCACTAAAATAAAATACATGTGTTCCAGATTATATTGCAGCCCTAGCAAACTTAAAGTGAACTGATTGGTCACAAAATTAAAAACCTGTTGGGTGGGTGATGAAGGAGCTGGATCCAAATGGGAGAGTGAAGTGGCTTTTGTAGCCACTTTGTACAAGGCCAAAGAACCATCTTGTTTCTCCTTCAGGCTTGGAGATTCGAGAAGCCCTAAAAGCAACTCTAATCCTGCAAGAAACAAATTTGCAGAAAAACTCAAATTCTTGGAACCATATGTGGTGAAATTAGCAATATCATCAAGGCAAATAAACCAGATTTTTTGCGAGACTAAGTTCTGTATTTTAAGGCACTTCGGTTTACAATTTTAAGCAGCCCACACTGAACCAAGCATGCTAGCATGCACACATGATAAGCTTTTGATGTTTTATGCTACTATGCTCTATCTGGCTGTTAATACTGGATAAAATTCCAACCTTTGTTATCAATAAAAATGGTTTCCTGATCACCAGGGTTACAAAGATGAGCAAGAGCCAAAGCCACTCGTTTTTGAACAGGCTTCTCTGCAGCCCGCATCAGATATAGTAGATTATTTAGAACCTGTGAAGAAAAAGCTGTTCAGGAATTTGGAACAATCTACATTGAGCATATCAAGTGAAATCAGCACAAGATGCAATCACTGGACAGCCAAAAGAAAGACTGTCCAAAGTGACAAAACTCACTTGTCCACAAATCTTCTCCTCTAATCTTTTCAATGTCTTTGCCACACAATCCTTAGTTTGCTGCACGAATGAAATATTACAATACAGTAAGGCCAAAAAACTATGATGAAATAGATAAGGGGTAAAACAATTCATGACCTAGAAAGACCAACTTAAAATCAATAGACAAACAACCATATGAAGGTTCAAAGAAAACGGGAAAAAATTACTTGAGCAACAAATTCTCCATCTTGGAGTTTCTGAACACCTCCAAGCTTAATTAAAGCTGCAACATTATCCTACACAAGAAATCTCCAATTAGTCTCACTGTTATACAAGAATAAATGACGAGTAAAGGACAACTGCATTACAAACTGAACTTAAACAGGGAACAGAAAACTGTACCTCATTATCTGCAAGACCATACAGAGAAAATGCAGCATTGTGTTGTAGAGATCCATTTTTTGAATTAAGAAGCTTGAGAAGAGGCACTATACCACCATTATGAGCAATGCCAGCTTGGTTATGTGTGTCCTAATATAAGAATCATTTAGGAATCTAGTAAGCTGTAAATTCCTTTGAATAGATAACAGCAAAAGATTATGATCACAAAAGCGAGCAAAGTTGGCAGTAGCTACATGACAGTACACCCAACAAGAGATGTAGCATTAATACCAAAATATTCAACTTGCATTACAAGGAGACATGCCCATGTATACTGCAAGCTTTCCCTATTCTATAAGTACAATAAGCTGAAAGCACCATAACTTAATAAGGATTTCTATCAAATATAGGAACAAAAACAAAAGTAAAAATGACTTCCAGGACGGTATAACAACCAGTCACCAATATGATACTTACAACTGTCCTCTTATGCTATTTCTACATATATGCATTATAAAAATAAAAAAAATAAGAAAAAAAGATGATGAATCAGAGAAATAGTAACCTGTGCCAACCTCCCAAGCGCAAAAGCTGACATCTCCCTAACCTGCGCATCAGGTGATTTAAGCATCTCAATTAATGGTTTTAAAGCACCCCTCTGAACTATATGTGCCTGCATGAACCAGATCTTCATAACATTAAACAAAATTCTGTATCATATGAAAAGAGGATGGGCATGAAACAGGTAGGATTTAACCAAAATGGTTTTCTATTCCACCTTGCAATCTGAATCAGCTGCAGCAAACTGACCAAGT